AAACGTCCAGGACGGTCGAGATGTTCGAAGAAGCCCCCCCTGGCCTGACTCCACGAGATGTTGACCGCCTCGCCGCCTTGGGCTCCATCGAGTCTCTCCGACACGGTGGCCCCGAAAGCGCCACAAGAGAGCCCCAAGAAGCCACGAGTGGGCCTCAAGAGAGCCAGGGCATTATTGGGGCAGTCGTGGGGCATCTTGAGGCCATACTGGTGGGTTCCTGGAGGAAAGCGGTAGCCTCGGCGCCCTCTTGGACTCGGCGGCGAGCGAGGGGGAAAACGACAAGGTGCGGGCCTTCTCAGAAGGTTCGGAAGTCACCGGGCCTTCTGAGAGAAGTTGTCTAAGCCTTCCCCGAGGACAAAAAACAACTTCTCAGAAGGAGCGGGCCTTCTCAGAAGTCTCGGAAGTCATCGGGCCGTCTGAGAGAAATTTTCTAGACCTTCCCCGAGGACCAAAAAAACAACTTCCCAGAAGGCGCGAGGGCTTCTGAGGAGTCCCGCGGCCTTCCGAGAAGCCTTCTCCCCCACTTCCCCCCCGCGCTCGCCGCCGATGGACCCTTCCAGAAGGCCTCGTGGAGCCATCTTGGGACCAAACGCCTGGGATCCGAAACTTGACATTGAGAACAACATGTGTCCCTCCTCCTCCTCCTCCTCCTCCTCCTCCTCCTCCTCCTCCTCCTTCTCCCTCTCCTTCTCCCCTTCCTCCTCCTCCTCCTTCTCCTCCTCCTCCTTCTCCTCGTCTGGGGGACCTCTTCGGGTACTCCTGGGGACCTCGTGGGCCGTCTTCCGAGAACCTGTTGAGGCCCTCTTGGGGCAGCCTGGGCCCCGGCCGAGGGCCTGCTAAGATAAGATACACTCATGCCGTCTTGGGACTCCCTTGGAGCTTTCTTGAGCGTTCCTCGGGGATGCTTGAGCCATCCTGGGCCGACGTGAGGCAGCATGAGGCTCCTGGCGAAGAGAAACCAACACTGATATTACTACACTTTGCTGGTGGAATCACGGTACGCAATCAAACAACAAAATCGCTCTCTTACCTTGACCGCTCTACGCCAACCCGTGCGACTAGTTTCTAGATCAATACTTAACCGGTAATTCGCTCGAGCGCGAAGCTGCCCCACTGAGTCACGCTGGGGATGCGAATGCGGCGACGTTGGCGGCAGCAGACTGGAAACCTGTGAGGCTATGATCCCTTGGTCACCTCGTATTGGACAAGTGCCTCCGAGACAGCCCTAAGAGGGCCCCAAGAGGTGCCAACATGACCCCGAGACGGATTCCAGAAACCCCAAGAGAACACAAGACGCTGGCAATGCAGACTGGCAGACGACTAAGATGGCGGGGGAACTGCCCTCAAAGACCTCCATAACCCCTAAACCATTGAAAAACCGTGGGTGTGGAAGAGTGTGCGCCTCTTCGGATTCGGATTCGCCTGACAGTCCATACAATATACCCAACAAGCTCCGAACCCCCGACACGACCCGAAGATACCCCAGACCTAACAGAAGATTGCCCACGTTGGGCCCAACTGATCCTCCAGTGCGCTCAACGCATGACGACGCTGCAAATTAGCCGGGGCGAAGAACCCGACCCCATGCGGGTGCGAGTACTGCAAGGCAGATGAACAGGACGTGGTCGAGCAAAAGGATTGGGGCACGATGGGCGGCGGAACTCCCCATGTGGGATGTGGGCACGATTCGCGCGAAGGGGCGTGCCGACATGGGCACGGGTCGCCGCGCGGAATCTGCCGCTGGGGCCCGCGGCGGAGCTCCCGAAGGGGCCGCGACACGGGGAAGGGGTGCGCCGAAGCGGGCGGGGGATCGCCGCACGGTCTTTGCCGCCGGGGCAGCCGGCGGAGCTCCTCCGATGGGGCCACGGGGCACCGAGGTGGGCGGGGAAACCTGTGCTGGCATGCCCGCCTGGGCCGCCGGCGGAGCCTCCCGTGAGGGCAAGGATTAAGTCGGGCCTGTCCCCCTACCGGGGGATTTTCGACGAAGAATGGAAAAATGCCCCAAAGATAATCAACAAAAAAAAAAAAAAAAAAAAAATCCACGTATAGTCGGGGGAACTATTACCTCTTTGGGGTATTTTGGGTGCATTTTCTATTTTTCGTCGAAGATCCCCCTGCAGGGGGACACGCCCGACATAAGGCAAGGAGCGCGTGATGGTTGCCGTCCGCTGTCGGAGACGCTTTTCTGACCCCCCTTAGAGTCAGGCACGGCGCGCAGAAAAAGCACCCGACCGACGCCACGCTCCGGGGCTCCCCCCGCCTGCCAGGGCCTCGAGGCGCGCGAGACGCGGGTTGTCTCGTCCTCCCCCGCCCTGCCCCCCGGGGTGCAACAGCCTCCTCTTGGCGGCGAGCGAGGGAGAGGGCCTTCTCGGAAGGCGGCGGGGCTTCTCAGAAGCCCTCTCGCGCCTCCCGAGAAGTCTTCAGCGCCTTCCGGGGGCAGGCCTGGGACACTTCTCAGAGGGCTTCCGAGCCTTCTGAGAAGGCCCGCCCCTTCTCACTTCCCCCCCCGCGGATTATCGTTTCGTTTCGCTACAGCTTGGAACTTCTACAAAGTTGGCTGGAACTATACGTGATTGCACAAACGAAAAAGCTCGTTCTAATGCTATGGCTTCTGCTTGGAATACTGTTACCTCCCCGCTCAGATGGTGCCCTTCTGCGTGCCACGGCTGGTACTTCGACTCTGCGTCTCCACTGATGAACATGCCGACGACGACGGAGGCTGCTGCATTGCCCCCAGATCTTTTGCCACCGTCCGTTTGGATGACCAGATTCGTTTCCCGCGGATTATCTAGAGGTGGGGGTACCACGCATCTCCTGGGCCCTCAAAGCCTCCGGGCCCACCCTCCCTCCGGCCCCTGCAGCGCGGGCGAGGTGCACTCCGGGTACGGTCCCACGCACCGCCCGAGCGGCGGACTTCGGAGGGCTCCGGCACGGCCCAAGGCAGCCTCGTGACGGACGCAGAAGCCACACGGACTCCCCCCAAGAGATCTCCACGACAATCCCAGAGAGGACATCAGGTGGTGCGAAGCATCGCTTCGCCGAAGGTTGCTCAATGATTTCAGCGTTCTGACTTGTCCGTCTTCTGACAGCCCCGAAGGCCTCATGCGCACCAAGAGGCAACCAAGATGCCTACAGTCAACCCGTGTAGTGGGGATGCGCGATAAGGATGCAAGGGCCTTGGACACCCATTTCAAAGCCTTTCGAGCGGGGCGTAGCCAACGACAGTGGCCAAGGATGGACCGAGGAGGCTAGGATGCAAGGGTACCCTTGGGTAGGTTGCCTATCCTTACGTTGCGGGTTGACTGTACACGGTGGCGGGATGAGCCGGCGCCATTGGACCGCGCCCCATGCTGCACATCAGTCCCAAAACAGCCTCCTGAGCTTGCCATGGCTGCCTGAATGACCCCACGACTCCTACTCCTGTCTCCCACCTTCTCCTGCTCGATGTAGCTTCCCCTCCTCCTCCTCCTCCTCCTCCTCCTCCTCCTCCTCCTCCTCCTCCTCCTCCTCCGCCTATCTCCTCCTCCTCGTCTTCCTCCTCCTCCTCCTCCTCCTCCTCCTCGTCTTCCTCCTCCTCCTCCTCCTCCTTCTCCTCCTCCTCCTCCTCCTTCTCCTCCTCCTCCTCCTCCTCCTCACAATCACCAGCTCAGAGATTTGTCTGCGCGTTCGCCGACAAAGGTGGGGATGAAGAGGCGGCCAACGCAACAGCAGATACACGCAGGCAGCACGACGGGGAGCGGCCAACAGCACGTACAAGATCGGGAGCCGCGCACAGCCTCGTCTGGAGGTCGGCTGGTACGAAGTACCGTAGGAACTCTCGACCACAATAAACCTTCAACAAAAAACCCAACGATTCGCGACGCTACGCGCGTTTTCCGTCATGCGCCGCCCCGTGTGGCTTGCCACAGGGGTGCACGGTGGGCCGATTGTCTGAGCGGTTTTGGTCCTGTTTGAAGGTTCCCAACGATGTCTCGGCATGACCCGCCAGCGCGGAATACAGTGGAGGTCATTCCACAAGAAACTTTCCACGAGAAGCCCAACCCCGAGACCCCAGGACGCCCATCGATGCTTGGTGTGTGCGCGTCGCGCTTGCCACAGCAGAACCATCGAAACACAAGAAACCCAGGGCGCCCCCTGGAGACAAGCAGGGTCTCTTGAAATGGGTTCCCACTGCAAGCCTCTTGACTGGCAGTAGAAGACAAAGGTTTGGTCGGGCGTGTCCTCCTACAGGCGGATTCTGGACGAAAAATCAAGAATTGTCAAGTAAGATATCGAAAATTGCCAAAGGTAGTCGAAAAATCGTCCCCTCACTACGCTTTTTACTATTTGTGGTGACCCTGGCAAATTTAGGGGCTCTGGGGCCCTGCCACTAACCCTAGGTCGGGCATGTCCCCCATACAGGGGGACCTCGAACGAACAAAAGAAAACAGTCAAACGGCACCCCCTAAAAAGCTCAAAAATACCAAAAACATAGTCCCCCGACTATTCTTCTACGGCAGGTTCGTGTCGTGCCGATCCCAGCGTTAAATTTTGACACCGCAGGGATCGTTCAACCTTGAACGATCGGCCGCTGCCGCAACGTCCGATCGTTCAACATCGATCGATTCTGGGTCGCTGGCGGCGTTCAACCTTGAACGTCCGCGCTGGGGTCGCCGCTGGTCGACACGACGCAAACCTACCGTACTATTCTTGACTATTCCCCCGGCCCCCGGCAGAGGGACGGGCCCGACTCAAAAGACGCGGGTGAGCGCGCACGAGGCAGGGGCCGCGGCCCGACGCCGCAGGCGCCCCGCTGAATTTTTTGCTGCCCTCCGAGGCAGGCCCCTGCGGAGAGCTCCTCGTGGACGCCTCGACGCCCTCCGACCAGTTGTAGAGATACGACGCACGCCGTCGCGAGGCACGAGATCAAAATTGGTGCAGTCGGACTCGATCGGACAGGGCACGCGAGGGGACACAGGACCCCTCCGAGGGCCACATTGCCACGGGAGTTTCGGAAGCATGGGTCGCGAGACACAAGACACGAGGGATCCCCCTTGAGCTGGCAGGGTCGACCTACTGATCCGGGCCGCCTGTACAGTTGGCGCAGTCAGTGCCGGTGGTGGTTATGTTGCGCCGTGCGAACCATCCCTCCGTCCCCTACTGATGCCTAGATTGAAAAGCATGGGAAAGTCCCACCTATCACATGGCAGCCGAGGCCACGAAGACTCAGTGCAAGCACGGCTTCACGCAAGCACATGCCGCTCACCAGTGCATGTCAGACTTCTAAAATGTATTGTTGAGAATCCCCCGACCCCTTGGTCTCTGGCGTGTGGGACCGCTCCCCGATCGCAGATCCCTCCCTCGGGACCCCATTCTGGCTGGCTTGGAGGTGGAGGAATCCACCAGTGCTGGCGGGTGCCTCTCCCACCCTTCGCTTCCCCAAACCACACCAGCATGGCACCAAGAGGGTCCTCGACGGCTCCAAGTCACCCCAAAAGGCGCCCAAGGCGGCCCACAATGCTCTCAAAGAGCTCCAAGACGGCCCCAGGAGGGCCCCCAAGAGGCTCCTCAAAAGGCCAAAGTCCTCGATGTCCTGAACGTTGTTTTACACGCGTTTTCAGGGTAGCTAAGACAGCGCGAAAGACCCCAAAGATCGCCCCGAGACTCCCAAGAGGCCTCCAAAAGGGCTCCGTAACGGCTCGAGCTGGCCCCAAGATGGCCCAAGAGGGCCCAAGACTACCCAAGTGACCCCAGGAGGGCCCCAGGGGCAGCCCAAGAGGAATTCTAAGGGGCCCCGGGAGCCCTCTCCCACAAGATGGCCGCCGAGGCCCCGACATACCCGCAAGAGAGCCCCAAGAGTCCCCCTGTGAGGCCCCCACGAGGACCCACAGACAACCCAACCAAGCCGACCCCGTTTGACTACGGCTCTGGGCTTGCCAAATGGACGCACGGCTTTGGAAGCCTGTATGCGAGTGACCCGTAAAAGAGAAGTACCCATGGCTCCCTTGAAGGTCGGCGGCGCGGCGTACGCCAATGAATCCACGTCCAGACTGCAGCGAAGCGTCTCGGCAGTCCGGACAGGACGGGTGTGTGACGCAAGGGCCCCGCCACCATGCGTCAAGGAAGGCCCATTGCAAAACATGGCAATCTTATACATTGGAAAGCAACCCCCCTCAATCCCCCCCAGGGATCCCGCCGAGTCGCCGACCCATTCGTCCGAAGTTGAAGAACCTACAAAAAAGCTTGGAAAATACTAGATGTTGGCCGTGTGGGCACCAATGGAGTCCACAGGGGAATCCCGACGGCTCCAGACGGCTTGAAGACGACCCACGACGGCCTCAGGACGGCCCAAGATAGCCTCAAGAGAGCCCGAGAGGCCAAAAAGAGGGACCCCGAAAGACCCCCAAGAGCACCTCCAAAGGCCAAAAAACATTCCCCAATCAGTGCTTGCTTGCACTGAAGGGGTCCTAGCAGAGGTTGAAAAATTTGGCGAAAATTTCCCGCCGATTTTGGTCGCACGCTGGGTTCCCGGGTTCCCGGGTTCCGGGTTCCCGGGTTCCCGGTTCCCGGGCCGATTTCGGTGGGCGGCGAGGTTCCCAAGTTCCCCGGTTCATGGTCGATCTTCTTATCGATCGGTCTCAGCATCGATCTCATTTCCCACCTCTCTATCGATCTCACCATCGATCTCACCATCGATCTCACAATCGATCTCACAATCGATCTCACCAGAGATCGCACGAGCGATCTCGCGATCGATCTCCCTATCGATCTCATTGAATCGATGTCACTCTCGGTCTCACGATCGACCTTACAATCGTCCTCTATCGATTCCACGATCGATCTCATTGTCGATCTCGCAACAGATCTCAAGATCCATATGACTAATTTCCAAATCATCCACTGATTGGGGTTTTCTCAGGTGTAATATTCTTCTGTAGATTCGTGAATGACGTTCTCGCAGTTTCGAAGGTTCGGCCGCCGAGAGTGGCCCAAGCAGCCTCCGAATGGACCCCCTTGCGGCCCAAGGGGACCCCCGGACCCCAAAAGGGCCCAAGAAGCCCTCAAGACCACCCAAAGAGGACCCCAAGAGAGCACGCAAGCGGCACCAAGAAGCATCCAAGACTGCGCCCGCAGGGTCCAGACGGCGCAAGAGCGCTTCAAGACAGTCCAAGACGCGCCCAAGAGGCCCCTTTTGGTCCCCCAAAGGCCCCAGAGGCCCCCAAAAGAGGCTTCCAAGAAGCCTCCAAGAGGCCTTATCGACGCGTGCAATTTTGACAAACGTGCAAAAAGGCAAAACGACACCCAAGCTGGCCCACAAAATGCTGGAGGCTCCCGAAAGGCCTCCATGAGGCCTCAGAACGACTGGGCTGTACGTGGTCCTGACATGCACCCCGCGAAGCGAGAGGAATCACGCTACAAAGGTAAACGGAACGGGTGGGCGGCCAGGAGAAATACAGTCGGACCCAGGCCAGAAGAACTCCCCTCAAGAACCCGAGACCCTCCGCCGGCCAAAGCACACAGAACATGCAAAGGCACCCCACCAGAATGCACGAGAGCATCCGATGAGCAGGAGCTTAGAAGGGTACCCTCCCCGAAACGTCCGTAGGCAGTACCGTCGAATCATTCTCACAAGGACGCCAACCGAGCCCAGGCCCCACCGCCGAAGGCCCGGGGCAACCACGAAGCTGCCCTAACGAACAACATTCCAGGGAGGAAATCCCAAAGAGTTTCTCAGAGAGCGAAGAGAGAGCATTAAGCATCACGAAGATCCCAAACGGGAAACAGCAAAACGAAGAACATGAGGGTACCCATCCAGATAAGCCTCGCGACAGCGATAAGTGGCAGAGGCGAGGGACGAGAAGGAGAATGAGGAGGAGGAGGAGGAGGAGGAGCACGAGGAGGAGAAGGAGGAGGAGGAGGAACACGAGGAGGAGGAGGAGGAGGAGGAGGAGGAGGAGGAGGGGAAGGAGGAGGACGAGGAGGAGGAGGAGGAGGAGGAGGAGGAGGAGGAAGAGGCGGAGGAGCACGAGGAGGAGGAGGAGGAGGAGGAGGAGCAGCAGCAGCAAGAGGAGGAGGAGGAGGAGGAGGAGGCCGCCCTCCCCATCCCCCCTTCCGAACCCCTCCGCGCGAGGGCCGAAACAGCTGGGAAGAGACCACCGGAGCTGCAGCCCTGGAGGGAGCCTGGCCTGGGCTGCAAAGAATGGAAGGGCTGGCCCCGGCCACTCTCTCCAGCTTGGGCAAGGGACCCCCCATCACGCCAGAGGCACGCTGCCCGAGACTCGCGACGTCTTGACATATGTCCGTGCGCGGCCCCCAACAAGTCCCGACCCGTGCCCCAGGGACGGGTTGCCAACCCGAGTCTTTCTTGAAAGGTCCCGGGGCCCGACGAGAGCCCCCGGAGCCCAGAGAACAAAACAAACAAACAAACAAAACGTCCGTCGTGACTCCTTCATGACCCGAGGAGGTCTGGCCCCCCCTGCCTCGCTGCCTCTCTTCGGCTGGTGCACGAGACCGTCGTGGTTCCTCACGGCGCGGCCATGCCCGTGAAGGCATGCGCGGGCCAGGCCCCCAGGCCCCAACTCCGAGGACACGGGATGGTTTTGTGGCGGCTGCCCCGCGTGGACTTTGCCCATGCGGCCACATAGCCCCAGGATCGCACCCCCGAAAGCCAGACTGCCAGGGCGTGGGCATGAACGCATCCGCGGCTCGTGAAGACCTCGAGGGGGCAGCAGCCGCCCTGCGGGCAGGACCCAAGCCGACACGGAGCCCGGCGGCCAGGCGGCCCGGCACTGTCGGGGCCGAGCACTTCTCTCGGGCGCTGGCAGAACTGGGTCTAGTGGGACCTGTCGCCCCCCATCGCCCCGTTCCACTCACCGGACCTGCCGTCGCCCGACAAAAACACCAGCTACGGCAGACCTGGCTTTTGGTGACTCTGGCAAATTCCGGGGCTCTGGGGCCCTGCCACTGACCTTAGGTCGGGCAGGTCCCCCGACAGGGGGATCTTGAACGAAAAATAGAAAAGAGTCAAGCAATACCCCCAAAATGCTCAAAAGAAATTGTAAAAACATAGTCCCACGACTATTTGTTTCGTATTGGAAAAAAATTAGCCTGGCGAAGGACCCTACCATACGTAGTTGTGAATACCGCAATTGTGGATAGATTCCTCGGTGGCGCTCCCTATGGGGCCACGAACCGCATGAAGGGTGCGCCGAAACGTGCGGCGGGGGTACACAACACGAACAAATATTATAGTTCTGAGTACGAGAGACTGAGCGCGGGTGAGTCTGAGCGCGAGTGCGTCTGTTTGTGAAAGAGTTTGCGTGCGAGCGAGTCTATGTACATGAATGGGAACATGACTCGGCCCAGTGTAATCGTATCTGAATGTGAACGGTTTGAGTATGACTGGCTCTGAGTACTTGTGACACTGAATGTGGCCGCCGCAAGGAGCCCCCCCAGAATTGCCGACGGCAGCGTCCGCACGCCGCGACGCCCATGTCGGCATGCCCCACACGAGGAAATCTGTTCGTGCGACCGTCCGATAGCGTCTGCGCAAGGCGAACACCCCAACGACCCCCAAAAAACAATTTCAAAAAAATCGCGATGGTCTTGTCCTTCTCCGCACTGGAAAACTCTCCACGCACGCACGGCGAACCCCATCTACCTGGCAGGGCGCGGAATTGAAAAGTCGGCGTTAGTGACGCCGCAAGGCGAACACCCCAACGACCCCAAAAAACAATTGTTTAAAAATTCGCGATGACCTTGTCCTTCTACGCACTCGAAAACCCTTAACGAATTTCCACCCCCCCGCGCTTCCTCCCCCACCGGCCAACGTGCGACCCTGAGAACACGCGAGCGCACTGCGAACGCTCCAACGAGCGCAGAACACAATTTCAAATTTCGCGATGGCCCTGTCCTTCTGAGCGACCGACCCACGTGCGACCGTCCGATAGCGTATGCGCAAAGCGAACGCCCCGACGAGCCCCCCCAAAAAAATCAAAAAAAACTCGATGGTATTGTCCTTTTACGCACTCGAAAGCTCTCGACGAATGTCCACCCACCCCCGCGCTTCCTCCCCACCAGCCAACGTGCGACCCTCTGAACCACGCGAACGCAAAGCGAACGCTCCAACGAGTGCAGAACACAATTGCAAAAAATCCGCGATGGTCTTGTCCTTCTGAGCCACCGACCTACGTGCGACCGTCCGATAGCGCATGCGCAAGGCGAACGCCCCAACGAGCCCCCACGTGTGCGAACGCAGCCATTGGGGCCTTCGGTGGAACTCCTTATGGGGCCACGAAACGTGTGAACGTGTGCCGAAATGGGTGCGGTGGGCGCATGCGAACGCAGCCACTGGGGCCTTCGGTGGAGCTCCCTATGAGGCCACGAAACGTGTGAGGGGTGTGCCGACCTAGGTGCGGTGGGCGCATGCGAACGCAGCCACGGGGGCCTTCGGTGAGGCTCCCTATGGGGCCACGAAACGTGTGAGGGGTGCGCCGAACTGGGTGCGGTGGGCGTTTGCGAACGCAGCCACAGGGGCCTTCGGTGGAGCTCCCTATGGGGCCACGAAACGTGTGAGGGGTGTGCCCAATTGGGTGATGACGATGACGATGATGATGATGGTGGTGATGATGACGTCGATGATGTCGATGATGATCATGGTGATGACGATGACGATGATGATAATAATAAGAATAAGAAGAAGAAGAAGAAGAACAATAATAATAATACTAATCATAATAGTAGTAGTAATAATAATAATAATAAGAAGAAGAAGAAGAAGAATGATGATGATGATGACGATGATGATGGGAGGGGGAGGAAGAGGAGGAGGAGGAAGGAGGAGGAAGAAACGCGGGGCGACGTCTCTTCAAAACGAGGACCCAACACCACAGGATGGTTGGGAAAAAATCAAACATAGTCCCCCGACTATTCCACCAGTAGAGGGGCAGGCCCGACGTAACACTGACCGGGTCCCATCACCTGGGGTCCTGGCTATACCCGCTTCTCCCCCCTCGACCTTCGCTCCGAGGGGCCCCGTGGCCTCAAGGGCTCCAGACCCTCGCCTGCTCTTCTGAAGGGGCCCTGGGACACGCAAATAAATACACATAAATAAAAGGATTCCCCATATTTTCCCATATGTTCTGGGTTTCTGTCTTCCCCACCACTTCCCATATTTTCCCATATTTTCTGGGGGACCGACGATTAATTGTGTCTGTGTGTTTCTTTTCCTCGCCTGCTCTTCTTCTGTCGCGCCCCTGGCACGCGGCCCGGGTCGCCATGGCCTTGCAGAGCAGGCCGGGCGTGCGGGCCAGGAGGACTTCCCCCACGGGCCGGAAGGAGCGGGTGGGCCTGAAGAAGGCAGGCGCTGGAGGTAAGCTGGATCTCCGCCCGACCCCCCGAAGACGAAGGAGGGAAAAGCACTCGATCCTTGAGATACAGGCCTCGGAACAAATTAGCGAACACATGCCACATTCATCCATCAAGGCCTCCCCCTCCCCCCAATGTTCAACGTTGGCGGTGGGTCTGATGAGATGCACTTCGACCGCAGTCTCCCCCGCGCGTGCCAACATTGAGTTTGGGGGGAGGGGGAGTGTTCAGTAATTGTTTCCCTCTACCGTAAGCTGGATCTCCGCCCGACCCCGCCCCCCAGACACAGGAGGGAAAAGCACCCGATCCTTGAGATGTGAAGGCACCTAAGGGCAGGCTGGAGCCTCGGAATCCCGGAGCACCTGCTTTCAACCACCGATGGGCAACCTGCCATGCTGAAAATCATGTTCCATGTGTCGGCGCCACAGCGAAGTAGGCAAGCGCTACCGCGCCGAATGGAATATCATCGAGGAGGGCGATGCGCCACGACGAGGACGGAAACTGCACGCAATGGGACGGAAGATGGGATCCAAGATGGAATGAGATGGAAGAGCAACAGACGGCAGACGGGATGCGACGGGCCCAATGTTGCCTCGGTGCAGCGATCTGGCCGGCAGGACTGCTGGACCGAAGGATCTCAGCATTGAAGGGGCCCTGGGACACACAAATCAATACACACAAATAACATGATTCCTCATATTTTCCCGAATTTTATGGGTTTTCTGTCTTCCCCCCACTTCCCATATCTTCCCTTATTTTCTGGGAAATCGAAGATTAATTGTGTCTGTGTGGTTTTTCCCTCCTGAAACATGCAGGCACGCCGAAGCCCCTCAACCCAGTTCCTGGCCTCCCTGGCCTCTGCGGTGACTCCGTCGGGTCACGCCGCTGACGTGATGCTTGGAAGCGGCCGTCGGGTCTGCGCTGGACGAGAGGGGGGACGAGGAGGAGGAGGAGGAGGAGGACGAGGAGGAGGAGGAGGAGGAGGAGGAGGAGGAGAGGGATGAGAGGGAGGAGGAGGAGGAGGAGGAGAGGAGGAGGAGGAGGAGGAGGAGGAGGAGAGAGGAGAGGAGGAGGAGGAGGAGGAGGGAGGAGGAGGAGGAGGAGGAGGAGGAGGAGGAGGAGGAGGAGGAGGAAGGAGGAGGAGGAGCGAGGAGGAGGAGGAGGAGGAGGAGGAGGAGGAGGAGGAGGAGGAGGAGGACCGAGGAGGAGGAACGAGGGCAAACCCGCTCGAGATGAAGCCCCCGGACCCCCATCCCGAGGTCGAGGCCTATACGCACGTTTCGAGGCGCGCCCAGCCGTGGCGACCGCTGGGCTCCTTCCCCCCCCCCCGGCCTGCCTTCCAGACGCAGGTGCCGACCAGCCACGGCTGGCGGAGCTGTGTAAAGGGGCCCCAGGACACACAAATAAATACACACGAATAAAAAGATCCCCCCTATTTTCCCATATTTTCTGGGTCTGTGCCTTCCCCCCGCACGTCCCACAGTTTCCCACATTTTCCTGGGGATCGACGATGAATCGTGTCTGTGTGTTTTTTCCCCTCCTGACTGTTGTCCTTACCCCCCTGGGGGAACCCATCGCATCGACGATCTCTCGAGCGGGGTGTCGAAATCGATGGGTCCTCTAGGGGGGCAAGGACCACAGCTCCCCCAGTTGTGGCCGGCCTGAGGTGGCGGGCCACCTCGGCCCCCCAGCCATCTTCGGGCTCTGGCCTCCCTGGCCGCTCCGGTGACCCTGCTCGGGGAGACGCAAGACTCGGCCTCTTGTTGGGGGGGGGGACGGGGCCGTCCTATAGAGGGCGCGACCCGGTCTGCCTCTGGACGCGGGCTCCCGCTGCAGACATCCCACGAACACTGGACCGCCGAAACTCGGGACGGGCTCGTCAGAAGAGGGCGTTGGAGGCCCAGAAATGGGCACCAGCAGCTCCAGCACAGGGGGCTGCCTCCACAGAGGGAAGATGGTCCTAGACTTCGGTGTTGGTGGCAATATTCCGGCCACCTTGGAAGCCAGAATATTACCACCGTCACCGAGCTCGGGATCGTCTTCCCTCGGTGGAGGCACACCGCCGACATTGGCGTTGGTGTCAGCCTCTAGGCCTGCGAGGGGGAGCGAGCCCGAGCTCCGGCGCACTCGAGCCTGACGTGCCCCCCCCGACCCGTGGAGGGCAGACCGCAGACGCGAGGCAACAGAGGGCCCGGCAGGTGCGCACGCGCAGCAGCTGCTGCGCGGAAGCGGAAAAGACGCCCGACAAGGTCCGCCACCGTGCCGCGGGGCACGTGTGGGGCGCACAGAGACGTGCTAGTAACAGATGTCGTCCTCGGAGACGCGCGTCCGACCCGAGCCATGTGGCATGCCCATCTTGCAGCATGTCGTTTCCCGAGCGGCGTGGCCAGTAAGCGCCCGCCACGACGCACATACGTAAAGATTTCTCGGCGCGGGCGTCGCCCCTGGGGGGGGCGACGGACACCTAGTATTAAGTATGTTGGGGTGACGCCGAACGCAGCTGGAGTGCTCAGGATTGGACCTCTCAAGGGGCCCAGACCTCGGGTGTTGCTAGAAGTGCCCCTGGCCCAAGGTACCCCCAGGACTCTCGGGGTGGCCCAGACGGCCTCCATGGGCACCCCTCACGAGCCCCAGAGGGCCCCAGGGGCTCCGAAAGGGAGCGAAAAGCTGAGGGCACCCTGGGCCAGGGGCACCTCTGGCAACACCCGAGGACCCCAAACTCCCACACGTCCGGGGGTTCCCGGCGCGGCCCCCACCCCCCGGTTGGTTCCCCTGCGCTTCCCGCACGACTTCTTGTCGGAGCCTCGACGGTGACCGGAGGGGCCGAAGGCCCGTAGAGCGGGGCCGGCACGGGAGCGGAAAGAGCGCCTCGGGAGCTCGCCCGAGATGGCTCGTGGCACCCTTCGCTCTTGGAAGCCTTGGTGCGGAGAGCTTGTTGCGTCGCCGCTCTCCGGTGGGAGCCCTGGTGTTCCGAGACTTTCGCGTTGCCGCTGGCTCTTGGGAGCCTTGGCGTGACGAGCTTTTTACGTCACCGCGCTCTGGGGAGCCTTGGTGCCAAGAGCTTGCAACGTCGCCGCTCGCTGGTGGGAGCCATGGTGTTATTGAGCGTCTCTTGGGCCTTTTGAGGATCTTCTAGGGGCCCCTGTGGAGGCCTTTCGGAGCCCTTGTGGGGCCACCTTGGGCCGTCTTGGGCCCTTTTTGTGCAGTCTTGGGGCGTCTTGGAAGCCTGTGGCTGTCTCGCGGCTCTCTTCGGGGCCTCCTGGGGCCCTTTTTGGGAGCCTGTTTTGGCCCTCTTTGGGCTCTTGGAGCTCTCTGAGGCCTCTTGGGGCCCTCTTGGGGCCGTCGTGGGGCCCTATTGTGCCGTTTTGGGCCCCTCCGGGGCCGTCTGGGGGCCTTCTTGGACCGTTCTTGGGCCGTCTTGGGACGATATTTGGGGCCTCTTGGGCCGTCTGGGGCCCGTCTGGACCCGAAAAAGCGAGAACCCCAAAAAAACTGCAAAAACCATAGGGAAATCTATGTTTGTGGCATCCTCTGGCCCTCTCGGGGCCCTCTGGAAAGCCTCTGGAGGCTGTCTTGGACCGTGTGGAGGCCATCCGAAGCTCTCTTGGGGCCGTCTTTGGATCGTTTTGGTTCCCTCTTGGGCCTTCTTGGAGCCCTTCAGCCGCTTCACTCGAAAAAACTACAAAAGGAAACGGGCCCCTCCCCTGGACTCCCTCCCTAAAAAGGCATCGCCCCCTACGAAACGTCTCTCGCTCATACCTCGCACTTTCCGTCACCTGGGCCGGCACGGGAACGGAAAGAGAGGACCAGGAACTTGCCTGAGATGGCTCACGGCACCCTTCGCTCATGGGAGCCTTGGTGTGAAGAGCTTGTTACGTCGCCGCTCTCCGTTGGGAGCCCTGGTGTTCAGAGACTGTTACGTTGCCGCTCGCTCCTGGGAGCCTTGGTGTTGAGAGTTGTTGACGTCACCGCGCTCTGGGAAATCTTGGTGTTCAGAGTTTGTTGCGTTACCGCTCGCTGTGGGGAACCATGTTGTTCCTTCGCGACTCTGCGGCTACTTGGGAATATATTTGGGGCCCTTTTGGACCGTTTTGATGAAACAATGCGAATCAACAAGCCATGGAAGCCGCCCGGGAGCCGCTTCACTCGAAAAAATACAAAAGAAAACCCCCGGCGGCCCTGCACCTGAAAAATATTAAGAAACAGGCCATGGAAGCCGCCCAGGAGCCGCTTCATTTGAAAAAATACAGAAGGAAACAGGCCAATAGACCAATGTCTTCGGCCTTGCCCCCTCCCCCAGACCCCCTCCTTAAAAGGGCTTCGCCATCTACGAAACGTCTCTCGCTCATACCTCGCTCTTTCCGTCACCTGGGCCGGCACGGGAACGGAAAGAGCGCCTCGGGAACTTGCCCGAGATGGCTCATGGCACCCTTCGCTATTCGGAGCCTTGTTGTGAAGAGCTAAGAGCTTGTTACGTCGCCGCTCTCTGTTGGGAGCCCTGGTGTTCAGAGACTGTTACGTTGCCGCTCGCCCTTGAGAGCCTTGGTGTGACGAGCTTTGTACGTCACCGCGCTCTGGGGAGCCTTGGCGTCAGGAGTTGAAGGATCTTGTCTGGCCGATAGCTTGGCCAAGCTCTGGCCGAGCTCTGGCCGCAACGTTCGACCACATAGGCGCTTCCCAGAGAGGCAGGGGGCGGCGGTGATTCGCCGCAGGCGTCCTCGATCCGCCGCCTCCTGTGCCTTGCGATATGGGTGCACGGCGTGCCAAATTTCGGAGTGGTTTGGGCCCTTCACCTCCATCTCGTCCTCCTCTTCCTCTCAAAGGTGTTCCCGCATTGGGTTCCACCACGGCCGGGGGAGCACATGGTCCGACAGCCTCGCCAGACTTCGGCCCAGCGTCTGGCCGCATGGGCGCTGCCAGCGGGCAAGGGTGCGAAGCGGGGATGTTGAAGGGGCCCGCGGACACACAAATACATAGAAGCAAATCCCAGGAGAGAGAGAGAGATATATATATATATATGTGTGTCCATACCCACGCCGCCTGTGGAGGTCCGCGAAAATCGATCCTCTGGGCGGTGGTCATGCATAAATCCCCGCCTCGAGAGGGGGGGGGGCGGCGGTGACTCGCCACAGACGCCTTCGATAAAAAGTTCTATGTTATGCCCAGGCCCGCGGTGCCCGCGCTGCTCGGGCTTCCACTGACCCGGGTCAGTGCAAGCCGGGGCCGCTCTGGCTCCTGCAGGCTCCTGCAGGGTCCTGCAGGGTATCCTGCGCGCTGGCCTGGGCCAACGCAGCCCCGGCCCTGCAGGATCCTGCAAGACTCTGGCAGACCCTCACCTGCACTGACCCCCGTCTCGAATTACCAGCTCGAGCTGCTCGCGGCCGGCAGGGGCGGCGGCCGCCGGGGAGGGGCCGCCGCTCCCCGCGAGGGGGGAGCCGAGAGGCGGGGCGACGAGCGGCGGGGCGGCGGGGGCCGAAGGACACGCTGGCACCCGCGGGCCCAGAGGTTGACACCAACACCGATGTCGGCGGTGTGCCTCCGCAGCGCCCCTGGGATGTGCGGGCGCGCGCCCGTGCTCTCGTGGCCCGCGGCCTGCGTGCCGGGCCGCCCGTCCCCCCGACCATGGTCGCCCCTGGCGGGGGGCGCCGGTCTTCGTCGCAACGGCTGGGCGCGGCCCGAACGAGTCGACTAGACGTAAGAGTGGCCTTTCTCTCAGGCCTAGAGGTTGACACCAACAACAATGTCGGCGGTGTGCCTCCACCGGGGGAAGAAGATCCCGATCTCGGCGGTGGTGGTAATAGTCTGGCTTCCAAGGTGGCCGACATAGTACCACCGACACCGAAGTCTAGGATCACCTTCCCCCGGTGGAGGCAACCCCCTGTGTTAGTGGGGGTGCCCACTTCCAGGCCTCCAAGGACATGGCCCGCTCCAAAAGCCCCGCACCCAAAACTGTCGCCACCTCGCCAGGTCGCACGCGTACTGCTGCCGGCCTCCGCCAGCGGAGGCGGGCGGCCTCGCTTTCCTCCCGCGGGCTTCCGCAGCCCTTCCGCTGCCGTCCGCCGAGGAAGAGACGGCAGCTCCCTCGAGCCCCGAAGGCGAGGACCTGCCTTCGGGAGTTGCTAGAGATGCCCCTAGCCCAAGGTTCCCCCAGCTGTCCGCTCAGTCTTGGATCCCCTGAGGCCCTCTGGGCCTCGTAAGGGCGTGCTCTGGAGGCCGCGATGGCCTCCTTGGAAGTCCTGGGGGCACCTTGGGCCAGGGGCACTTCTGGCAACACCCGATGCCTAGGACGCCTCACACTGAGTGTCGTTTAACCGATCCCCATCCCCAGCGGCGTGGCCTGGGCCCCACTGGCCGAGTTACTCCCCTAGATGGGGGATACAGGCTGCTCTCTGCGGCTTTCGAGGGGTGCATCCCCAACTGGGTGGGGGGTAAGTTGGCGGGGGCCTCGAAGGGGATGGGGATGGGGATGGGGAGTGGTCAAACGACACCGACACGCAGCATCAGAATGCTCTGGTGGTGCCGACGGGAGGAGGCCGAGGGTCCGCAGCCGCGGCCCTGCGCTCCGGCCACGCGGCACCGACGTGCTGCGACCTCCGCTCGCCCGCCCGCGTGCCGCGAGGGGGGGGGCGCGGGCGCCGCCTCCCAGCGCCAAGCCTGGGCGACCGGCTGCTCCCTGAGGGGCACGACGACAGTGCAGGCAGCCGCTGCCCAGAGTGAGTAGGGCGACGAGATCTATACATATCCACTGCTCCTGGCCAGGCCCATCCTGGGCCCAGGAGCTGTGTATATGCCTCCCTGGCCAGGCCAGGAGGGCGTATACACCGCTCCTGGGCCCAGGATTGGCCTGGCCAGGAGCAGTGGATATGCATAGATCTCGTCGCCCTAGTGAGGGGGCCAAACGGTCCTACACCAGCCTCCCGGAACGCTCTGCAAGCGTTCCGGAGCGCTCTGGAGCGGACTCTTCTCGTCCTGGCCCGTCCAACGAACCCCACCTTGGGATACGGTCGGACCTGGGACAGAAGAGCAGCCTTCAAGACCGTGACATCCTCCGCCGGCCAAAGCACCCCAAACCATTAGATCACTCGAAAGTACCCTCCCCCCCGGATGCGCAAGTGACATTATTTTTGCCCCTGGCAACGGTCGTTACCAGGGAGGGGGGCAAGGGTTCGGGCGGGAGGGTCATGGTGGCGGCGTCTGCGGCGTGCACCCGCCAGGGTGCGTCCGCGCCACCGGCGCATCAATCGTCTGTGTGCACCACAGCACGTAGGAGTCCAGGCCACCCCACCCCAGCACGATCGTCAGCGTGGGGGAGGTTTGGCCCGGGAAACGAGCGTTACCCTTGGCGGCGCGCCAAGGGGGGTAGGGGGAGGGGGGAAGGCTTCGTAGACGGAGGCTGGTTCTTAGAAGGCGGCGGCCTTAGATCTTTAGGAAAGGCCCACGCCTTCTAAGAAGCAGGAGTGCTTCTAAGAAGCCTTCCCCCTCCCCCTGCTCCCATCTGCGCGTGGCTGACAATCATCAGGGGGACCATGAGAAACAGTGCCTGAAATTGCGCCCGAGTGTGACCGAAACTGGCGCCGAATGCCCGAAAGATCCCGAGCGCGCCCACATGTGGACGAACTGTTGGTGCGAGGTCCACACGTTTTTCAGATGCAGTCCCAGTTTCGGGCACACAAGGTCTCGGTCGCAAGCTCGGGCACGTCTGCGGTTACATCTCTGTTCGGCCACAGACCGTATCGGCCGATAGAGGACATGTGGCGACCGTTGCCACAGGTCCCCCAGGCCCTAACACACTAAGACACCTCGCCTTAGGTCGGGCACGTCCTTCTACAGGAGGGTTCTGGAAGAAATGAATCTTCAAAAAAAAGATTCAAACACAGCTCGAAAGAATAGGAAAATCGTCCCCTGACTATTTGTTACTAGTTCTGAATACTCCTCCTGTAGAGGGACACGCCCGACTTCGACCTCACCTCGTGCGTCGCGCTGGACGACGAGCGGCGCGCCGTGGTCTTCGCGCCTTCGCAGGGCCGCCTCGGAGCGAGCCGGCGCGCTCGTGGCGGGCGGCCGCGGCCCTGCCGCAGCAGGGCCGCGGCGGCAGCTGCCGCGGCCCCTCGGACCGAGAACGGGGGGGGGGGGGGGGGGAGGGGGAAGGGCGACGAATTCTATACACCCTGCGAAATGCTTAAGAAATCATGGGTTAAGAAATTCATAGTCTCAGAACTTGAATAAAAACCCAACATTTCCATGAAAATCTTAAGAATTGCATTGAAACGTTAAGAATAATCGAGATTCTGGCAGAAAACTTAGGTTTTCTTAAGCATCGCCTAAGGTGTACGCATGTCCACTGCCCCCTGGCCAGGCCCATGCTGCACCACCCAGCAAGGGAGGGGGGGGGGGGCCAGGGCAGGGGAGGGGAAGGGCGGCGAATTCTATACGCATGTCCACTGCCCCCTGGCCAGGCCCATGCTGCACCCAGCAAGGGAGGGGGGGGGCCAGGGCAGGGGAGGGGAAGGGCGGCGAATTCGATACGCATGTCCACTGCCCCCTGGCCAGGCCCATGCTGCACCCAGCTCTCCTGGCCAGGTCACTCATGGCACTTTCCAGCAAACCCAAATGCCAGCGGTGATGCAGTTTGCGGGCCAGCGGAATGGGCGAAGCGATTCGATACAAGTCCTGAGCACTGCAGCACGCATTGAGTTACGCATGCAGAGCCAAGCCACCTCACCAGTACTTGGGCCCGTTCATCAGGTAGTGTTGCCTGGCTGGGTCTTGAACGGCGAACGGGTCATCACCGTGAATTGGATAATAAGGAATGGCGCGGAGAGGAAATACTGACCGCTCGGAAGAACGTTAAAATCATCAAGTACGAAGGCGGTTAAAGTAGAGTTGGTTTCGCCCCCTCGCCGCCCCTTCTCCGCCTGCTCCTCCTCCTCCGCCTCCTCCTTCTGCTCCTATTCCTCCTCCTCCTCCTCCTCCTCCTCCTTGTCCCTCTCGTCCTCCACCTCCTCCTGCTCCTCCTCCTGCTCCTCCTCCTCCTCCTCCTGCTCCGCCTCCTCAGTGCTCGTACTCCTTCTTCCTCCTCTTCGTCCTCCTCACTACGTTGTCCGCCTCTTCCTCCTCATGCAGCACCCTTGAAGAAGAAGAAGAAGAAGCTCCCGAAGCGCACACCGCGTGATTTGCCGAAGAGAGCCGAACAGAAGCAGCACCTCCGAGCGCACAGCCATACTGCTGCACGAGCTCGAAGGATGGGACGAGAGGCACACAAGATCATGCCGCGCCGTCAGGGATGTCATTCCCTGGCACACCATCTCGGACACGCTCTGCGAGCACACCGAGGAGATCATAGCTAAAAACGTGGACGTCTCCGGGGGATACTCTGCAAAACCGCCGTAGGATACCGCCCCCCCAAACCCGTCTGGCCGCCGCCATGTGCCCACTAGGACGCTGGCACCGCCCCCTTCTGAGGGCACTTCTCACGACCTGGTGAAAAACAAACGATTCAGAGTGAGGAGAGTAGTCGGACCCATACGCTTGCATGGAAGCATACCGTAGCCAAAATCAAAAGATCTCAGCCCGCAGCGACCCAATCCAGCTCCTCATCATCATCCCTCCCGGTGCGCACGACAGACGGGGTTAGTAAAAGGGGGTAGCGAATCAGCCGTTGTACGTAGCTGATTATCCCGGCGCCCGGAGCGCCAACACATCGAGGAAAGCGCTGGGCGAGCGAGGCCGAAACCAGCTGCACGCAGCAGATTTCGTACCCCCCGCTTCCCTAATCTGAAGTCGGGCCTGTCCCCCTACAGGGGGATTTGTGACGAAAAAAATACCCCAAAAATAATCAAAAATAATATAGTCTGGGAACTATTTGTTGAGTATGTTTTGACCTTTTTGGGGCATTTGTGGGGCATTTCTTATTTTTCGTCGAAAATCTCCCTGTAGGGGGACACGCCCGACAGAACCCTAATCCCCCCCAGTTCGTCCGACCCGATCATCCCTCGACTCCTATCTTGCCCCTCTCAGCACGGGGCGGCGGTCGGTGCCACGAGGACGCCCGCACCCACGTGGACTCCTGGCGCCGCCAGAGAGCAAAGCAACGGGCCCGGCAGCCGACTGCGCCGAGAGGAAACAGGAGGGGGGAACGAAGTGTTGAGGTTCGAGGCGTGAGGTTCCTCCACGTTTGCAATCGGCTCTCGGCGGCATTCTGGCCTCGGGATGCCTTCCAGTGGCTGCGCCTCGCCGAGAGCGTTCCGGGGGTTCTCTGATCGTTCCGAGCAGCTTTGGGTCGGGCATAGCCTCCTACAGGCGGATTTTGGACGAAAAATGAAACATGCCCAACGATAATGTGTAAAAACATGCAGAAGCGTCCCCAGACTATTGTTGACTGTTTCTGAATGCTCCATCCTGTAGAGGGACAAGCCCGACTTAAGAACAGCTCTGGAGGCCCGAGTTGTGACCCGACAGCCACCCGGGGATCGGCTCAGGGGTGGGAACTCCGAGCTGGAGTCGGCGCTACCGTCGCCGACAGGTCGGCGGCGGGCCCCTCCTGAGCGAAGCCGCACGGTCCTGGGCGGGCCGCGACTGGCAACCCCATCAGCGATCGATGGGCGATCGGGGTCGGTGCATTCCCCCCTGTGAGGGGCCTGATTTCCGCCATCACCACCATAGGTTGGAGGGGGGAAGGAGGTGGAGGACAAGGAGGAGGAGGAGGAGGAGGAGGAGGGAGGAGGAGGAGGAGGAGGAGGGGGAGGGGGAGGAGGAGGAGGGGGAGGAGGAGGAGGAGGAGGAGGAAGGAGGAGGAGGAGGAGGAGGAGGAGAGGAGGAGGAGGACCCCCTCCCCCTCCAACTTATGGTGGTGGTGGTGGAAAAGAGGCCCATCACCCTGAGCCTATCCGCCCTAACGCTGCCCCTCACTGACTACCTACCAGACCCCCCCAGCCCAGCCCGAAGGCCCGAACTTCGTATTGGGGGAGGGGGGGGGGGGGGGCGGATTCCACACGTGTTTTTGTGTCCGTGTTCCCTGGCGCCCCCCCCCCACACTGGGAATGGCGGGCAGATTGGGGCCTTCGGGATGGGCTGGGGTGGTTCGGTGGGTGGTGACTCACGCTGCCCCTTGATCACCTCATCACTGTTGGCGCTCCGCGCGGATTTCTTGGATCTGCGCCGCCCCCCTCCCTGGCGCGCAGAGCGCGCCAGGGGCGGCGCCGGAGGCGCCGCCAGGGGGGCCTATGGGCGCCGATCTGAGAAACCCGCGCGGAGCGCAAAAACTTCTGTTTGTGGCGTGTCTTCATCTTCGCCTTGATCCCCCCCCTAGCGTTGCCCCCGAACCTCGAAACGTCGTCCCCCCTCCGCCTATCCTGAGGGGCAACGGCAAGGGGGGACTTGCACAGGGGGAGATGCATCGACCCAGAATCGGCGATACGTCGCCGATCGATCAGCGATAGGACCCCAATAGTGAAGCCGCACCTTCCTGTGCAGGTTGGGGCTATTGGGAGTCGATGTATCCCCCCCTACGTCTATCCTCCCCTTTCGTTGTAGATGCCATGACAATGGACACTCATCATTGAATTAAAACTGTGTTTAAGATACGTGAAATATGTTCTAACAATGTTTCAAGCATGTTTTCACAGATGTACAACATGTGTGACACATGCCCTAGACATCTGGAAACGATTTGGCAGCCTGCTTCCTCTCCATCCATCGATTTCCACGAGCCTAGAGAAGAGGCGAAGGAGGAGGAGGAGGCGGAGGAAGAGGCGGAGGCGGAGGCGGAGGCGGAGGCGGAGGCCCCCCCGCGCCCGAGGGCCCCTTTCGTGGCCCCCGACATCCCCCCCCTGACGCTGCCTCCGAGGCGGCCCCCTCGCGGCGCCGTGCCCGCGCGCGGCCCGCCCTCGCGCGCGCGCGGCGGGGCGATCGCCCACGGTGCCCGAGAGCTGGGCGCGCCGCCGCTCCTCCGACCGGGGCGGCCTCGCCACCGAGGGGGGCCCCGTCGCAAGTCGGCCGGGCCCGAGGAGGGCTCAGGGCCCGAGGGGCGGAGGTGCGGGGCTCCGGTCGTGAGCTCTCGCGATGGTGGAGGAGGAGGAGGAGGAGGGAGGGGGGAGAGGAGGAGGAGGAGGGGGAGGGGAGGGGGAGGGGGGGGGGGGGGGGGGGGGAGGGGGGGGGGGAGGAGGGGGAGGAGGAGGAGGAGGAGAGGAGGGGAGGGGGAGGCGGAGGAGAGAGGGAGGAGGAGGAGGAGGAGGAGGAGGAGGAGGAGGAGGAGGAGGAGGGGAGCAGGGGGCTGGAGTGGGCTGGAGGGGACTGGAGAAGGAGGAGGAGGAGGAGGAGGAGGAGGAGGCAATGTTTCGCGACGTCGGACCTCGAGGGAGCAGGGTCGGGCGGGGGGGAGCGGCCCTTCCAGGGAGCGGCTGGGCGCGGGCCCGTGCCCGCTCCCGAAGGCATGCGGCGGCTGCAAGGGGGCAGGGGGGTCGACAGCTGAACAGCATAGCTTTGGGCACACAGAAGCATACTAGTAGTATAGGTCCTCCTTGGAGGGGCGCGTCCGAACCGAACATACAGTATACCCATCTTGTAGTGTATCGCTTCCCGAGCGGTGTGGCCAGAAAGCGCCCGCCACGACACGTATACGATAAGCTCTAAGGTTTCTCGGTGCGCGCGTCGCCCCTGGGCGGGCGACGCTCACATAGTATTAGTATGTTGGGGTGACGCCGATGCGACGGTTGCAAGGATGCAGGGGGGTCAACCGCTGAACAGCATATCTGCCATGAGGTTCAGCAATTGATCCTCTGCGCACCTCGGAGAGGCACCAGAGAAGTGTGGAGGTAAATTCGTTGGTTTGTTGGGGTGGTGGCGGCTGCTGATTTTGTTTTCGCGCATGGCGCAATGAGCACCAGCAGCTCGCACTGCTCCATAGCCGTCGGGCCCAAACCACTTTCGAGGAGCGAAGGTGGCGAGCGGGTTCCCTCAGCCCCACCCGCCGGGCCATCAGAAAAAAGTGCTGTTGATCCCATCTCCTCCGTTTGATCGCTGAGGTCGGGCCTGTCCCCCTACAGGGGGATTTTGGACAAAAAATGACAAATACTCAAAAAAATTCTAACATGGCCCAAGCATTCCCCAAAAACAGTCCCCAGACTATTTGTTGATCATTTTTGGGAGCATTTCCCCCTGTCGAGGGACAGGCCCGACGCAGCGCCGAGTTCGAGGCGGGGCCCGCGCCTCCGCGCTGCGCACCGATCTGGGCGGCCCGAAGGGCGGGCCCGACAGGGGGAGGGGGGGGACACGCAGCGGGGCCTGGGTTAAGTCGGGCCTGTCCCCCTACAGGTGGATTTTCGACGAAAAATAAAGAATACCCCCCCCCAAAAAATAGTCCAAAAATAGTCTGGGTACTATTTTTTGAATACTTCTGGACCTTCTTGGGGTATTTTGGGGGGAATTGTTTTTCCGTCGAAAACCCCCCTGTAGGGGGACACGCCCGGTTGCCCCTGGCAGGACCGCAGGCGGCCGCGACGCGCACGCGCGCCAAAAGCAAAAAACAAAAAAACAAAAAAACAAAAAAAACAAAAAAGAGCTCCGTCGACGCCGTGCAGCCGCGGCGAAACACGCACGGGAGATCCCCGGGAGCGGGCGCGAAAAGTGAGCCTGCTTTTCGGAGTAGACCCAATCCGGGTGTGATGGATGGGCAACTTCCGACTGCGATGTGTTC